GTTACGCCGGCGGGTGGACGTGGCGGTGCGAGAAGGTGGCGTGTGGCCGGAGCCGCGGGAGAAGGTGGCCGGCCATGGCGACGGAGGTCGCGTGGCAGCAGGGGGGCCGGGAAGCTCGCGCGGAGGCGGGGCCCCGGGTGAGATCATGCGGCGGCGCGGGGTGAGGGGGATCTGGGGCGGGGGCAGGAGGTTGGGAGCGATGGGATCGGGAGTGTTTTTTTTTCTTTTTTCGCTATCGTTTCCGTGAGTTCGGAGAAACCTCGTTATATAGGGACGCCGTGATTCAAATAACTATTTTAATTCTGGAATTAGAATAGTGTTGTCCTATATATATATATACTAGTAAAAGAGTTTGTGCGTTGCAACGGAAGAGAAAACATAACACACGCTTTTAACTCAACAACCATCACTCAAGACCACAATAGATCCATCTCCTTTATTTTTGCGAGGCATCATATTTCTGTTGCCGCTTATCCTCCTTCTCACTCTCGCCGACGATGGCCTCGGTGTTCATACAAAACAACAAAAAACGTGTGTTGAATATGGTTAATCCTAAGGCGTCTCTCTCTCCCTCTCACTCACTTTCACGATGAGAAATCTGTTGTTTTTCCATGCGACATTTTTCAGAGGGATGCATGTGTAGTTATCGATATTTTCTTTTCCGTATATGGTCATAGTGGGATGTTTATTTGCAATTGGGATCGTCGTCGGTATGAAAAAAACAAATCTTATGCTATAAATTATAAGTTTGCTTCCATAACAATATTTTAAAAATATTTAACGGATAAAATTAATATCATATTTAGATTCCACACATTTTTCTAATAAAATTTCATATATAATATGTTAAAATCAAAGTTACGGTTTAAAAGATACATATAATTTAAAAAATCATTTAGTTTGACTTAAATATATTCCAAAATAATCTCTCCCTAATAATAAAGCACGGATTGAGTCTCCTGGATCACCGTTGCGGCGTTTTTATAAAAAATCCCTACTGTTTGAGATATTCAACCCGCGGTCCTTGAAGAGTTAAGAAAAAATGGTTCGATAAATTATTTTGGGCTGCAGGTCGAGCAGCGGCTGGCCCGATCCGATCGGGAGGAGGAGGAGGACGACGGCAGGGCTATGGGAGTGGGGAAACGTCGGCGAAGCGGCACAGTTCGGTGCCCGTTCCGATCGGGAGGAGAACGACGGCGGCAGGGCTCCGGGAGTCGGGGAAGCGGCGGAGGTCGACGCCAGGCGGGTCCGGTCGGGACCGGATCCTGCAGATCAAGGACGCGCGCCGGCACCGAGTAACTGTGTCGGTGGCGGAAGGGGAGGAGCGGCCAGGCGTGCGCATGTCCACCCCGCCGATGCTGCCCACCATGCTCTTGGACCGGCTCCTGAACAGCCTCCTCGGGCTCGGAATCTTCACCATCTCCTCCTCTGCTGCTCTGTCTCTGTTCCTCTCCGCCTGCCTCCTGTGTGCGTGCGTGAGGATGGATGATCGATCACTGGATGGATAGCTAGCTGCTCTGTGGGTGTTGTGCTGCGTGAGGCTTGACGGAGAAATGATTGGGATTTTAGGCTGCGTTCGGTTTGCGGGTATAGAAAACACTGAATCAAAAAACTGCAAAGGAACATGATTGATTGTACAGTACTAGACCATGGGGTTACAGAAGAGAGGAAGAGAAGCATGCAGGTGTTTGATACGTCTCCAATGAATTTTTGATTGTTCCATGCTATATTATCTACTGTTTTGGAAAATATTGAGCTTTATTTTCCACTTTTATATTTTTTTGGGACTAACCTATTAACCGGAGGCCCAGCCCAGATTTGTTGTTTTATGCCTATTTTAGTGTTTTGAAAAAAAGGAATATCAGATGGAGTCGAAACGGAACGAAATCAATTAGAGAAGTTATTTTTGGAACGAAAGCCACCCGATGGATTTGGACCCCACGTCAAGGAAGGAAGGAGGAGCTCACGAGGGTAGGGAGCGCGCCCACCCCCTAGGGCGCGCCCCCTGCCTTGTGGGGTCCTCGTGGCTCGCCTGACGTGCTTCTTCTGCCTATATAACTCCATATACCCTAAAACTTCTAGAACGAACAATAGATCGGGAGTTCCGCCACCAGAAGCCTCCGTAGCCACCGAAAACCAATCTAGACCCGTTCCGGCACCCTGCCGGAGGGGGCAATCCTTCTCCGGTGGCCATCTTCATCATCCCGGTGCTCTCCATGACGAGGATGGAGTAGTTCTCCCTCGGGGCTGAGGGTATGTACCAGTAGCTATGTGTTTGATCTCTCTCTCTCGTGTTCTTGAGGTGATACGATCTTGATGTATCGCGAGCTTTGCTATTATAGTTGGATCTTATGTTTCTCCTTCCCCTCTTTTCTCTTGTAATGAGTTGAGTTTCCCCTTTGAAGTAATCGTATCGGATTGAGTCTTTAAAGATTTGAGAACACTTGATGTATGTTTTGCCGTGGATATCTGTGGTGACAATGGGATATCACGTGATTCACTTGATGTATGTTTTGGTGATCAACTTGCGGTTTTCGCCCATGAACCTATGCATATGGGTTGGCACACGTTTTCGTCGTGATTCTCCGGTAGAACTTTGGGGCACTCTTTGAGGTCCTTTGTGTTCGTTGAATAGATGAATCTGAGATTGTGTGACGCATATCGTATAATCATACCCACGGATACTTGAGGTGACATTGGAGTATCTAGGTGACATTAGGATTTTGGTTGATGTGTGTCTTAAGGTGTTATTCTAGTACGAACTCTAGGGCTGTTTGTGACACTTATAGGAATAGCCCAACGGATTGATTGGAAAGAATAACTTCGAGGTGGTTTCGTACCCTACCATAATCTCTTTGTTCGTTCTCCGCTATTAGTGACTTTGGAGTGACTCTTTGTTGCATGTTGAGGGATACTTATGTGATCCAATTATGTTAGTATTGTTGAGGGAACTTACACTAGCGAAAGTATGAACCGTAGGCCTTGTTTCCTATCATTGCAATACGGTTTACGCTCACTTTTATCACTTGCTACCTTGCTGTTTTTATATTTTCAGATTACAAAAACTATTATCTACTATCCATATACCACTTGTATCACCATCTCTTCGCCGAACTAGTGCACCTATACAATTTACCATTGTATTGGGTGTGTTGGGACACAAGAGACTCTTTGTTATTTGGTTGCAGGGTTTCTTGAGAGAGACCATCTTCATCCTACGCCTCCTACGGATTGATAAATCTTAGGTCATCCACTTGAGGGAAATTTGCTACTGTCCTACAAATCTCTGCACTTGGAGGCCCAACAACATCTACAAGAAGAAGGTTGTGTAGTAGACATCAAGCTCTTTTCTGGCGCCGTTGCCGGGGAGGTTAGCGCTTGAAGGTATATCTTTAGATATTGCAATCGAGTCTTTTAGTTTCTTGTTTTATCACTAATTTAGTTTATAAAAGAAAACTATAAAAAATGGAATTGAGTTTGTCTCATACGCTTCACCTTTTTAATATCTTTTGTGAGTATGATGGAAAGTAAAATTGTGCTCAAGTGCTAGAAGAAGAATGCATTAGAATGTTTGGAACTAAATATTTGAATGATGAGCATGATTGCAATGTTGTTAGTATGAATTCCTTGAATATCCATGATGCTAATGATATGCAAAGCCACAAGCTTGGGGAAGCTATGTTTGATGAAGATGATATTTGTTTTTCCCCAAGCTTTGATGAGAAAATTTACTATGATGAAAGCATGCCTCCTATCTATGATGATTATTGTGATGACACGTATGCTTTAAAAAATAATAATAACAATGAAACTTGTCATCTTGATTTCAATTTTCAATCCCATGATAGTTACTTTGTTGAGTTTGCTCCCACTACTATTAATGAGAAGAATTTTGCTTGTGTGGAGAGTAATAAAATTTCTATGATTGTAGATCATGAAAAGAATGCTTTAGGTGCTGGTTATATTGTTGAATTCATTCATGATACTACTGAAAATTATTATGAGGGGGGAACATATGCTTGTAGGAATTGCAATAATATCAAGTTTCCTCTCTGTGTGCTTAAAGTTTTGAAGTTATGCTTGTTTTACCTTCCTATGCAAGTTGATTCTTGTTTCCATAAGTTGTTTGCTCACAAAATCCTTATGCATAGGAAGTGGGTTAGACTTAAATGTGCTAGTCATATTCTTCATGATGCTCTCTTTATGTTACGATTCTTATCTTTTATATGAGCATCATTGAAATCATCGTGCCTAGCTAGGGGCGTTAAACGATAGCGCTTGTTGGGAGGCAGCCCAATTTTATTCTCGTTCCTTGCTTTTTGTTCCTGTTTAGTAATAAATAATCCATCTAGCCTCTGTTTAGATGTTGTTTTTGAAGGAAATATGCCCTAGAGGCAATAATAAAGTTATTATTTATTTCCTTATATCATGATAAATGTTTATTATTCATGCTAGAATTGTATTAACCGGAAACATAATACATGTGTGAATACATAGACAAACATAGTATCACTAGTATGCCTCTACTTGACTAGCTCGTTAATCAAAGATGGTTATGTTTCCTAACCATGGACAAAGAGTTGTTATTTGATTAACGGGATCACA